GTAAATCAGCAATGTCTCTAGCAGGTAGACTAACATTAAAATTAAGTGTGTGTCACTTCAGTGACGGATTTTGAGTGACGAAAATCCCTAATGTGCCTTAAATGTGATTTCTGAAAGGTCTGTGAGATCAAGTGCAGCCACTATGCTATCTCTAGATCTTCAGCACCTAGCAGTGGGTCTGAAATGTAGTAGGTGCCCAATAAGTGTTGTGTGGATGGATGGATAAGAGGGATAAATTTGTATCAATTGGTACTATTAAGAAATTTGACGATTTTTCATTTTCAGCCCAAAGGGGGTAGTGTTGCAGAAATTAAAGAGTGTTGGAATCAGGGTGGATTATATTTAGCTGTGTGACCTTGCACAAGTTACTCATCCATGATAAGCTTCAGCATCCTCATCTGAGAAATAGGGAAGGGATTAAGTAATTTATATAAAATGCTCAGGGCAGAGCAAAGTGACTCCTGCTCAAAAGGATAATTGCTATTGTTCAACGAGAAATAGAGTGAATTAATTATGAAAGGGCCATGTTTTAGACAGTGTGAACTTTAAAAGTTAAAATCTGTTTACATTTGGTGTGTTGAAAGGAGGAAGCTCTGAAAAGTTTTGTGAGCTTGAGAAAGATATAATGTTTACAATGACTGAACGAAGGACCAATTAGAAACGGAAAGCCTATGATCAGGAGGGAAAAACAACAAATGGTCATCACCTGTACCACTGACTGTCTAACTTTGGGCAAATTTCTTAACTTCTCTAGGCCTCAGTGAGACTTGTTTCTTTTTTTTTTTTTTTAAGATTTTATTTATTTATTTGACAGAGACAGAGATAGCGAGAGCAGGAACACAAGCAGCAGGAGTAGGAGAGGGAGAAGCAGGCTTCCGCCCAGGACAGAGCCCGATGTGGGACTCGATCCCAGAACCCTGGGATCATGACCTGAGCCAAAGGCAGACGCTTAACGACTGAGCCACCCAGGCACCCGAGACTTGTTTCTAAGACTTTATATTCTCAGAGCAGTTTTAGGTTTCTAGCAAACTTGAGGGGAAGGTACAGAGATTTCCCATACACCCTCTGCCCCCACACATGCGCAGCCTCCCCTATTATCAACTCCCCCATCAAAGTGGTACATCCATTACAATTGATGAACCTGCATTGACACATCATTACCACCTGAAGTCCACAGTTTACATTACTCTTGGTAATTATTCCACTCTTGGTGTCGTACATTCTGTGGGTTTAGACAAATATATAATGACATGTATCCAACATTACGCCACACAGAGTAGTCTCACCTTGTGCTCCACCTTGTTCATCCCTCTCCCCCAGCTTAACCCCTGTCATTCACTGATCTCTACAGTTTTGCCTTTGTCACATACTTGGAGTTATACAGCATATAGCCTTTCCAGAATGGCTTCTTTCACTTAGTAGTATGTATTTAAGTTTCCTCCATGTCTTCTTCCGTCTTGATACCTCATTTCTTTTTAGCATTGAATAATATTCTACTGTCTGGTTGTACCAGAGTTTATCCATTCACCTATTGAAAGGCATCTTGGTTGCTTTCAAGTTTTGGCAATTATGCATAAAGCCATTATAAACATCCATGTGCATGTTTTTGTGTAGACATATTTTTTCAACTCCTTTGGGTAAATGCCAAGGAGTGGGTTTGCTGATTACATAAGAGTGTATAGTTTTATTTAGTGATATTCTAGTATTTTGTTACAGAGTTTTATTATGATTAATGAGATAATCAATATAAATTGCCTGGCAGAGTACCTGGCATATTGTAAGGGCTGAATCAGTGTTAATTATATTTGGTGTTATTATCATCTCATAAAAGATATATAGTAGATACAGAAGAGAGAAATGTCAGAGGAAAAGTGTAAGAACATGTGATGATTAGCTCTTAATGCAGATATCTGCAGTCTCGGATACACGGAATGTGCTTGTCTAATTCATGCTGCTCTGCATGAAAGGTATACTTTGCCTTGGGCCTTTTGGTCCCCCATACTCCCTTTGGACTAATGAAGAAGGATAATACAGGTAATTGTAAGTAATGGTTATCTAATTCTTCAGGTAAGGGGAAAAAATACAGCTAAATGCACTCCAAATCTGAATCATATAAACCTGACAAACAGCTAGGGTCAGATAAAATAGGGGAAAAGCACTACTAGACAAGTGTTCTGGAAAACTGTGTTCACAGTCTAACTCACTTTGTGTGGGTTGTGAACTTCATGAACTTGGACTTGAGGCTTAGTATTTCAGTTTCCTCAGCTGTCAAATCAGAATGAGACTCCCCCACTGGCTATTTAGAGAACAAGATGAGATAAGGAACATCAGAGTACTGCTTGAAATTTTCTAGGAAGTTAAGAAATTTAAAATTAATCTTAATACATGGAGACACCAAATAGCTTGCTCAGATTCAGTTCCACGATAATAAATAAAAAATCCAAAGTCATCTAGCACCAATAACATCATGACCAATTTCTGTGCTTGGTTTTGAATATATGATTGCTTCTATGCACTTACAGATTTGTATTTTCTCTGTTTTCTAAGCATAAAAAGCGTATTTCTCCATTGTAGAGAGTTTTGATTATTAAAAATACATAGGAGGAAGCAAAATCAAACCAAACCAAACCAAACCAAAGCTCACCTATTATTTTACCACCTGGAAATACCTCATGTTAAAATTCAGAAACATTTCCTTCTGACATTTTATCTTTCTGTAGCTAGTAAGCTAAATCTCTAGAAAAGTAGACCTAGATTTAAGTTTTTTTAAAAGTAGTCTGATGTTAAATATAGATTTGATTTATATTTTGTCTAATGATCTTCGTAAGGATAAGATTACATCTAAATGCCTATATGTTAACAATATATAATGTAGCATCATCACTTTCTTTTCTCCATCAAAATTATGCTGTTTTTATAAAGTTTGGTTTTTTATGGAAATGTTTATTGTTTTCTACTTGTTGCTTATTTCCATTCTCCACTAAAATAATATGCTCAACAACATTTTTTTTTTAAGATTTTTATTTATTTATTTATGAGAGACACAGAAAGAGAGAGAGAGAGGCAGAGGGAGAAGCAGGCTTCCCGCTGAGCAGGGAGCCCGATGCGGGACTCGATCCCAGGACCCTGGGATCATGACCTGATCCGAAGGCAGACGCTTAACCATCTGAGCCACCCAGGCACCCGCTCAACAACATTTAAGCAAGCAGCAATCAGGGGAGAAAACATTTATCTGTAATGCCAGCCTAAATGTTAACAATGAACTCTTTCATCTTGATTCTAAGCTCTAAGTCTACTCTGAGGTCTTTGAAGTACCCACTTGGGCTAAAGCCACTCAGAAAGAAACTGAGCAAAATAAGTGGTTTGAAGCAAACAAAAATATAAACCCTAAACCCTTCCCAGCTTTGCATAATCATCATATTCGTTTACTTTTTTGTTGTTGCTGTTTTTGTTTTTTTTTTATTATGTTATGTTAATCACCATACATTACATCATTAGTTTTTGATGTAGTGCTCCATGATTCATTGTTTGTGTATAACACCCAGTGCTCCATGCAGAACGTGCTCTCTTTAATACCCATCCCCAGGCTAGCCCATCCTCCCACCCCCCTCCCCTCCAGAACCCTCAGTTTGTTTCTCAGAGTCCATAGTCTCTCATGGTTCGTCTCCCCTTCCGATTTCCCCCCCTTCATTTTTCCCCTCCTGCTATCTCTTCTTCTTCTTCTTTTTTTTTTTTAACATATAATGTATTATTTGTTTCAGAGGTACAGGTCTGTGATTCAAGAGTCTTACACAATTCACAGCGCTCACCATAGCACATTTACTTTGGACTATATTTCCCTTTATAGAGGTTAGGTTAACCATAACTGTCTCCCTGATTTTCATCTTTATTTTTCATCTGCTGACAGTGCCTTCTCAGCCTGTTTCCCAAATATTTAAATATTTGACAAGCATCAGTTTTATTACTGGGAATCACTTTAAATGATTTAATGATAATCATAATGATAGCATGGGCCTGTTTACTGTTTTTCAAAATCATTTTAAAATAGTATTTGCTTATAAGCTGGAGTAGCCAAATAATTGAATTAAGTTTCTTGATTTTCTTTTTATGTAATCTTTACCATGTTGAAACTCTCTGCTTCATGGTAAAAATACCCAGATCATACAATTTCTGATCCTATTTTGGGGAGGCCATTGAAGAATCCTCTAAATTGTCACTTGTCACATGGAGAAAAGATTACTCCAGAACCCTCAATATTTTTTTCTAACAACATGATCCATTTTCACTTATTGAAAATAAATACTATTGAGCACCTGCTACGTATTAGACATTGAGAGTGTAGCAAGCAGTGAAGTCAGACAAAGTCCCAGTTTACATGGAGCTTATGTTTCAGAGGGAAGGACTGAACAATGCATAAATTAATAATTTGCAGGATGATGTTCTTAACTCTTAGATATTTATTATTTTGTAAGAGGTACATTTGCTTTCTTCATCGGGTTAACATATAAATGAATTTCTTAATCTCTGAATACACATGTAGTAGGATTTTTTGTGGTTGCTTTTGGTAGTGGTTTTGTTTTGTTTTGTGTTTGGTTTTTGATGATTTAGTATACTCAGTCTGAGTAGGAATGGAAGTGTAAGATTTTTGGAGTTGTTCACAAAATTAGCCAAATTTAAATCATTCTATATTACTAATATATTATCATACTAATGTTAATTTCAATGTGCTGTATCTGATATATTTTGAAACATCTTATATTCACTCACTGAAGCAGCATATTACAATAAAATGTAAATGTTAAATATCATGGTTTAGCATTTTCTGAACATTGGAATCCAATTAATTTAATAACAGCAATATATATACATATAGGCCAGTCATTGAAGTCATTATTCCCATTTTTCACATTCAAGTTTATATTTTGATTTTTTTTATTCCTGTGGGAAACATTTTTTTAATATCTGAAATATGTCTTCAAATATTTTTATTCCCTTTTCAGGAATTTGCTGCACTGACAAAAGAATTAAATGCCTGTAGGGAGCAACTCCTAGAAAAGGAAGAAGAAATTTCTGAACTTAAAGCTGAAAGAAACAACACAAGAGTAAGTATAAAACCGCCTCTGCTTGGAATCAATTCCATATACAGTTCAGTGCCTTATCTCTTGTATACTCATAAGAATATAAACATTTAAAAACTTGAGGAAGGGGCGCCTGGGTGGCTCAGTCGTTAAGCATCTGCCTTCGGCTCAGGTCATAATCCCAGGGTCCTGGGATCGAGCCCCGCATCGGGATCCCTGCTCCGCGGGAAGCCTGCTTCTCCTTCTCCCACTACCCCTGCTTGTGTTCCCTCTCTCGTTGTGTCTCTCTCTGTCAAATAAATAAATAAAATCTTTAAAAAAAAAATAAAAATAAATAAAATAAAAACTTGAGGAAGACGTTAAGCAGACACCAACTCATAGTCTGTCACTTCAAGTAACAGAGACTATTCTATGAAACTCAAAACAGGAAGGCCAGAAACCTAAATTACAGTCTCAACTTCCAAATCACCGTGTTGCCTCAGAAAATTTTATTCCTTCTGGCCTTTGCTTTCTTTGATTTTAAAAAGAAGGACTGGATTTCGATAGCCTCAAACTTTCAAACTGTTGTATTGGAGTAGGGGGCCAATACTCAGAGGCTGGAGATGGGCAGAGAAAGAGAGGCTTGAGGGGAGTATGAGTTTCCATTATGGGGTGATGTGAGGGAGTGGCTTGGCATTGGTCCTCACCTCATTAAAATGTATAAAACCACTGGCGCAGAACTCTCCTAATTAAAAGAGGCATAGCTTCTCTATTTTGGAAGATGATTGAGGAGACTTCCAGTTCTGATGTCATGATTTTGATGGACTCTTCTATCTTCTGCTCTTGGAAACCCATGTCTCTTTCAGTCTCATGCCCTGTAACACTGAAGTCCAGAATTTGATCAAAGGTGCTATATTTTCTTGTTCAGAAGAAATAGTCACTAAATTTCATAAAATATATAAATCACCAGATTACCTATACCTATTACTAGAGAAGAGTTTCTCTATTAAAAGAATGCAGAGGAGAAAACACTTTTGTGTGGATATATAGTTCAATTTCAACATGAAGTAGGTGAAAAATATTTTCAGTATTAAAACTCTGGCAGATCAATGCTAAAGAATGAGAAAGTGAGGTATTGTTAATAGTGTATTCATTTGATGCTTGGTCTTAGAGAATACTATAAAAATAATAGCTCCATAAACAGTGAGCTTGTGCCTTTAATGAGGAGTACCATGTATCCATACTGGTTATATGATCAAACTCAATTTATCTCCTTATTCATCAGGGTCTTATTTTTATGGTAAAGAGAATTCACACAGTATACACACAAGGATTTGGTTTTCACTGAGACTTTGATGACTGCCTCAAATAGAACATAAAGAGGACAGTTTAGATCATGTTACCAGGTGTCCGATGAATTTTTTCTATTTCTTTCTCTCTGTTGATATTTTTTCCCACCCTTGATTTCTAACTTACAATTTTTTCATGCAAACTTAAAGTTTATTTGTGCCATGAGATTTGTTCTGCCCTATTTCACTATTTTCCATTTCAGTGGTTTAAGCTACATTCCCCGATGTAGCCCAGTGCAGCCAAATGTAAAAGTAGGATCCGGAAGGTGAACATGGAAGGAAATGTAAACTTCTTGGTTAGACTTTCAACAAATTCTCATATTTAAAATGCACCAGAAACTCTTCTTTTAGCTGTGTATTTCTCCTTTAGACAACTTTTTTTTTTTTCTACAGCCCTTTACTCCTTTCTAATGCCCTATGAGAGACATGTTATAATTATCCCCATTTTACAGATGAGGTAACTGCTCAGAAAAAGGTGGATAACTTGCTGGAAATTATGCAGTGAATAAATAGAAGAGAAAAGGGATTTGAAAGCTGAGGCAGTCTAACTCCAGGCCTGTGCCTTCAGCCATGAGGCCATTAGCACAATTACTCAAGTTAGATCCGTGGAGGGGCCCCTGGGTGGCTCAGTCGGTTAAGCATCCAACTCTTGATTTCGGCTCAAGTCATGATCGTGGGGTCGTGTGATCGAGCTCCGCGCTGGGCTCCACACTCAGCTGGGAGTCGGCTTGAGATTCTCTCTCTCCTTCTTCCTCTGCCTCTTCCTCCAACTCGTGTGTGCTCTCTCTCAAATAAATAAATAAATCTTTTTTTTTTTTTTAAAGTTAGATCCATGGAAAAACTCCCAAGATTTACAACAGCTTAGAGAAGACTTTGCCCTAAAAGTAAACCATTGCAGTATGGAGTGTATCATTCCTTCCTGATCGTGACTAATTTCAGAGAACTCGGAGATTTGGCAGCAGCATCCATACAGTCTTCATCATATCACACTCCATCAGGCCCAGAAGTACCTGTGGCTGTTGCACCTGCAGAGGAACCTTGGGGGATAGAGGCAGTAAGGCAAGCTATACTTGCAATACCTCTTCAGGGGTCAAAGTGAGAAAAATACAAATATTAAATTCCATTAGGGTAACAAAAATTGAAGCCATCGATTTTAAACATGAACAATGGTTACTTTGAAAGCATGAGTAAAGCTGGAAAACATTTTTTCCACCCTCCTTAAAGCAGTGGTATGAGGATTTTTGTTGTTGATTAGGGAAAAAGGAGAAACGGAACTAGGAAAACTTCTTTGTGCAAAGTATCAATTATATAACAACTTCCTAAATTACATAACCACCTGTTACCCTCCCCATCACCCAAAAAATATCCAGGGCTAAAAATCAGACATATCTTCTTCATGACCCCAGAGTCCCAGGATTGAGCCCCGCATCGGGCTCCCTGCTCAGCCAGGAGTCTGCTTTTCTCTTTGACCCTCCCCCTTCTCATGCTCTCTCACTCGCTCTCTCTCACTCAAATAAATAAATAAAATCTAAAAAAAAAAGCTTTATTGCAGCAGCCAAGGTTATGTTGAATTCAAATCTAATAAGAAGTTGTATAATATTAGAAATTTATTTCAAAAATTTCCAATGATGCAGTATGTACGTATGCATAGACACTATGATATGTTTGTATATATACAGGCTGTGGTCATTTAAAATGAATCCCAACATAGGATTAGTGGTCATTTACGTAGTCCTTGCAATCCTGGGAGTACACCAAAAAGGGTGCCTTCTGCAATATTTATTAAATATTAGATAAAAGTGTAGCTCCTAGCAAAGGTATACAACTAGTAGCTTGTTAGTGTTATCTTTGTGAGTTCCTCTTCATTTTTCATTTATTTTAATTTATAAGCTTAGAAGTCATGGGTACATGCTAGTTTTGAACATTTTGGCCCACATTCTCCAGGCTAGGTAACTTACATTTATCTTACTTCAATTCGATACATGAGCATTAAACATATATTCTATAGAATAATCCCTAAGTATTAAGGAGTACTGAGGATAAGTCAAATTGTTAAGCCCCTAAGAAGTCTGTTTTATATTAATAAGAACACATTATTTGGTTTTATTATATCCTAAGTGCATAAAACAGTACACCTTAACTGTTTGAATCAAGAAGACATTAATTAAGGAATATAAGAAATCTCCAAACCTAGCTTCCATGCGCAATGTCTAGGACCATATTTCTTAGCTTTGGTGAGTTTTCCTTACATTCCTAGTCCCAGAAACATGCAGCCTTTACTACTACCTGTGCCAACAAAATGGACCCCCAAGCCTAGCCTGGTTACTCATTTGGCTCCCTTCAGAATCTGTCCTGTGTGGGTGGCTCTGGTTGGCTGACTCTTAAGTCACTTGTCTGCCACCTAGTGGTAAAACGTGCCTGCGAAGTGTTTTTTTGTTTCCAATATTGGGAAGATGACGTTCAGCATTCACGTAATTATCAAAGATGGAGGGTATGTACAAAAGATTTGGGGCAACCACAAATACCAAGTCTCCACAATAACCTAACTTTTATTATACTCTTTTCCATATTAAAACTCTAAACAGCAGCAATACTGACATGTAACTACCCAACAATACAACTATACCTCTTAGACAAAAACAAAATCACCTTTTCTCAAAAAAAGAAGGTGCATGCATCCAGCCACAAGGCCAGGGTTCTTCTTGCTCTTATTAAATCTCAGTCATATCTTAATATTCTGTAATGTATGGACTACTTTAAATGTTAATCAGAATCAAATACCCAGTATACAAGAGTAAAAGGGGAAAATAATTTAATATACATTATGTATATGATATAACAAAAAAAAAAATAAAGATCCTCTCTTCTCCAAGTGGTCAATAAGTCCTATTGGTAATTATAAATTCCAATTCTAAACCTTCATTCCTGGACCTCTGTATATGGACCAATATCTTCATCGCTAATTTCAGGATGATAGCACCCCAACCTAGCCATGTGTTATCTCCAAGCAATAATTAAGATAGACTCTTCCTTGGGCCATTTAACCATTTTATAGGATCACCTGCTTCTGAATGATGTGATAGCATGGTGAAACCAGGGCTGGGAACATCAGTCAATTACATTACTCCTTTCACTATAAAATGTGTTTTTGTTTTTTTTTTCTTTTTTCGGTCAGAAGTAATGTTGTATATGATAATAAGACTGTAAGCAGGGGGCGCCTGGATGGCTCAGTCGTTAAGCATCTGCCTTCAGCTCAGGTCATGATCCCAGGGTCCTGGGATCGAGCCCCCCTTCGGGCTCCCTGCTCAGTGGGAAGCCTGCTTCTCCCTCTCCAACTCCCTCTCTTCTGTGTCTCCCTCTGTCAAATAAATAAATAAAATCTTTTAAAAGAAAAAGACTGTAAGCAAAAATCTGATAAGATAGTATTGCTAGTAGAAGCAGAGCCATTAGAGAAGGCAAATCCATATTCAGAAAAAAACATTTATTACATTGAGAAAAGGCAGCCGTCCCCTCCTTGATGGAAGGGATTTAATGTAATCTACTTGCTTCAAGGTAACTAGCTGGTCTCTAGGTATACTATATCATGAAATGGGTTCAAAATTGATGGCTACAGCTAATCACTTGGCCATTCAGCTGTGGTGGTAACCCTATCAACCTTAATGGTGAGAAGCCCATTTTGCAAGGTCAATGAGTAACTTCTATCCCTGAAACCATGGGCACTTTTTCTGCCCATTGAGCAAATGTGGCGGTGGCCAGAGAAATGGGCTAATATCCAAAAGGTGAATCATTTTTGTCTATGAGATTATCAAAAACCTCTGCAACAGTGGGTACCACAGAATTAGTCCTAGTTCAGAGATAATATCCAAGAAATTTGGTATTCTTTTTTCCTCAGTACTAATTGACATGGTATAATAGTTATAGATGCTTTTAGAGAAGATCTTCTGATTAGCTATTGCTTCATAACAAACCACCCCCAAATTTAATGCCACAGACAACATTTTACTGTACTCACAGATTCTATGAGTCAGGGATACAGAAAGGGCATAACATTTGTGCTCCCAGCTCTGATGTCTAGTGACGCTGATGTGCTGGTAAATGATTTTTTTTAACCAGAAAAAAATTTTTTTAAAAATACTAATCTCTATAGTGTTTGGAGTTCCCATGGTGTAAATACTCCCACTGTAGCTGATTTCAAGCTACCAGCATGATGTCACTGAATGCAGAGGTGGGAAACGATGAAAGATTTGGAAACAGTCTATAGTATTTCTACCATTCAAATACAGTAGAAGTAAACAACCCAAGGAGCATGGGGTATTTAGGAACCTTACTAAAAACTTGGAATTTGGGGCACCTGGGTGGCTCAGTCGTTAAGCATCTGCCTTCGGCTCAGGTCCTGGGATCGAGCCCTGCATCGGGCTCCCTGCTCCACGGGGAACCTGCTTCTCCCTCTCCCACTCCTCCTACTTGTGTTCCCTCTCTCACTGTGTGTCTCTCTGTCAAATAAATAAATAAAGTCTAAAAAAAAAAAAACAACCTTGGAATTTAGTAATATAATCAGGAAGTAATACATTCTGAGTGTTTATTATCTTTAAAAAATATTTTTTATTTAATTATAAGCTTGCATAATTTAAGCTTCAACAATTACTGTGTTTTAACTGCTGGCTCACAAAAATCCTGAGAATTAACGGTCCTCTCTAGCAAGCTGGTATGAGCCAGGTTTAGCACACCATTTGCAGGGGAGAAGAGAATATCTGGACTCTGAAAGGTCGACTGGGAGCAAACTGTTTCACATGGGTTATGGGGCTTTGTACGAACTTAACCCTGCTTATCTGGTGTTGGTCTTTCTCTGACAAACTTCGCTCTGACCCTACCAGCCTCCTTCGGTTTCCTTGGAAGCCAAGCCTTTGCCTGTGCTGTACCCTCTGCCTGGAGTCCTTCATCTGGCCCCTCATCTGGCCAGCTCTTTCTCAATTTAAACATCACCCTCTCGCAAAGGAGGTCTCTCCTCTTTTCAGCTCCCATAACTCTATTTCAGGGTTAAGTTCATACAAAATCCCATAGCCTGTGTAAAACAGCTTGGATTTAACCAATGCATGCATATATCTGTAGAAGTCAAGAGAGTAGAACACCAGGAATATAATCAGATTGATAAATAAAAGGAAAGCTCTTTGAAAATATTGTGTCATCATCATACTGAAGAACTATTAATATTATTTTGACCCTTAAATGTGATCCCTACCTACTGATCTATATACATTTCGGATCTCAGATGTTTGTGTTCTTTTGTACCAATGCATGGCAAAGTTTTCTGACACTTTGAACCATAATTAGTGATGGTGAATGGAAAGATATTAATTTATTAAGGACTAAGAAAGGTGACACTAATATGTGACACTGAATCTAACAATAACTGAAAACCAAAAATTTCCCCTACTTTAGGAAATGTAAGCTTTAGGAAAAAGCCTGCATTTTTTTTTTCTTTCCTTCTTTCCATCCCAGTATCTTATATTTGCTTTTCCCTTTTTTGTTTGAGTAATTTCTGCCTTATTTTGCATAGACACCATTTGTTAGCCTATGCTTTTCACTATCCTTCTGAAAATCTCTCCTACAAAACTTCCTGCTCATGTATTGTTGTTCCCTGGCAAAATCTCAATAACTGAGAAGTTAAACCAGCAGGTTTGGGGTTTTTTTTTATGTATCTTTGTTTTTAGCAGCAGAACTCCCTTTATTAAATGAAACGAAGGTGAAGCCCCAATTCACAAAACATTGAAAAGTAAAATTTCTTTGGGAAATGTTAGAACAGACTGAAACACTGTTCACTGGACTTTGTCCAGACTTCTGTCATGGCTCCAGAGGCTACTCTGGGTGAATGTAGGTTCCAGAGTAGACAGTTTAAAAAGCATGCACTTTAACCTCCTTTCCCCAAGTGATTATTGCAAATCTCGGTTACTGTATCCCAGTTGGTTGCATATATTTTTCTATTATTTCTATTTCTATTTCTATTAAGAATTAATTGTGAATAAAATCATTATTTTCCCTATAATCGTTAGAGCAACATGTGATTATAACTATCACTATAATCACTACACAAATGTGATTATCACTATAATCACATTCAAAGCAACATGATGATTATGTTATGCTCATTACCTTCATTGCAACACCAAGTGTAAATTAAATTGGTTTTGACTTTTAATACTTTTTTCTTAACACAATCATCATTGTGTTAAGAATTGTACCATGTTCTTTAATAATTATTCTATTTGATCACGCCTATTTTGTGTTGTTTCTACTGAATTCATGCTGAAATTATTAAATTGTTTTAAAAATGCATAAGAATTTACATGATATTTCTTAAATGAGCAATTTGTTATACACTAGAAATGGGACTTACTTTAATGTAATTTAGGAACCCTGGTTTAGACTCAGGTTTGTGCTTCTTTGTTGCTACCTGTGATAAAATCTGAGACTATCATTAGATTCTATGCAAACCTGCAATCTTTTACAGTAGGAGTCATGAGTATTAGTAACTTGTGTTCATAAGATAATTACATTTAGGATAATTGCATTTTCTGTTAAACCCAATAGCTGTTACTGGAGCACTTGGAGTGCCTCGTGTCCCGACATGAAAGGTCACTAAGAATGACAGTGGTGAAACGGCAAGCCCAGTCCCCCTCAGGAGTCTCCAGTGAGGTTGAGGTTCTCAAGGCACTGAAATCTTTGTTTGAGCACCACAAGGCCTTGGATGAAAAGGTATAGTATTGATAAAGGATTCTTACAATTGTATGTGTCAATTATACCTCAATCAAGCTGAAATGTAAAAAAAATAAAATGAAATAACCTTTATCTACTAATTTTAAAAAAAGTTTTAGTACTGCAAAAGCTTTCAAGCTTAACAGTGTTTTTGTCATCAGCATCAAGCTCCTTGTCTTCATCTAATGACTCAGCTGACTCCTGATGTAAATCAGCACAGAGAAACACATCTGGATTATAGGAATATCATTTTTTAAAAATGCAACTGGATTATTGTGTGTATATGGGTAATACTCATAACCATGTTGTTTTTATTGCCACTGAATCTATGGCTTATCAAGTTATACTTGTATTGTGTTGCATTATGGTCCTAGTCCAGATGGCCATGTGAAATTCAATATTGTCAGTCAGTCTCCCTCTCTCTTCCTCTCTTTTTCTCTTCTCCCAGCCCCTCTTTGAAGTGCAATGTCTATAGACGCCAACACAGGAGACTGCTAACTGACAACTTAACATATCTTGAGGTGTAAATTGGCTGTACTCTAACCTTTGGAGATTTATATTAGAAGCATACATTTTTTTTAGATCGCTAATATCTAGTATCTTCTGAATATACATTTTGAAGAGTCTCTACATCTAACAGCATAAGGTATTAGTGGAAAAAACTGCCTTAGGTCTTTTTAAAAGTAGCAATAAGCTTCCCTTAGCTGTTACTCAAATAACTGTTACTGACATAAATAAGCCAATATGATGATAATATCCTTTGGAGATTAGTAAGGCTTATGACATGATTTTAATTTTGTGAAATGTTAAAGAATTAACTTTTTAAAATTAATAAAGCTTTAGGATTTTGTAGAGTGGGAATTGGGGCACTTCATTAGAAAGTACCTGAGAAGTTCTGAGTATTAAAATCCAAATAAGGGATTATTATCCAGTTATATCTGGTTTTGAGCATGCAGACACTTGTGCTCTAGTTAATATTTATGTACATAGATACTTTTATCATTGGTCTTTCAGATGTTCTTAGAGCAGGGGATTATGTGAAGTATGTGCAAAAGGATAGCTATAATTCTATCTTCTAGATTATTAAGAAATTATAGTTTATTTTTCATTTTAGCTGTGAGAGGCAAGTAGTTTATGAATAATTTTAAATAAAACAAAAATTGATATTATTTAAAGATCCTTGATAAATGTAATATCAAATAATCATATTTAACGTTTAGTTTCATATTCCCTTTCTTATTACAAAAGTACATTGTTAAGAATTTGGAAGACTATATTTATGGAATATCTATTATATATAGGACAGATGTTTGGCCACACAAAAATAGACAAGACATTCTCCTTACAACTGAAGAGATCATAGCACTAGAGATTCATGTCAATAATAGGTAATGTTAAGAAACAATATGTACAATGCAATATGAAGTAACAGAAAAGTTGTGACCAATTCTACTTGAGAAAGTGATGAAAAATTCAAGAATATCTTCACAGAGGGGAGGACATTTGGTCTGAATATTAAAGAATGTGTAGGAGTTTTAAAAGCAGAGTCATAAAGATACTCTGCGCACCAAGATCAATATGTAAGATAACCCAAAGATATAAGAAGAGCATGGCCTGTCCAGAGAAAATGTAATAGTTTTGAATGGCTTGAATGAAAGTGCTTGAGAATGTGTGATTTTAGATGTTCCCTGTAATCATTCCCACATCACTTGAGGGATGCTGTTATGAAAGAATGGATGTAAGGCAATAAAGAATATTGAAGACAAATAACCTGATGGGTATGAGTACATTTAAGAAGAGAATAGTTGTACAACTTAAAATTTAGAAATAATTTACTATGTAGATGTTCAGTGAGCTTAGCATAACTAAATGAAGCATTTATACCATGGCCCTAGGAGCTATAATAGTATTTACTAACTCACCGGAAGTGCCATGGACATTGATGAATCCAGGGGCAACTGAACTGATTATCAGCTAAGTATTGCTGACAGTCTAAAGGAAAAGTGTTATGAGCTTGGATTCTGGAGTTGGACAGATACAGACAAGTGACTTAACTTCTCTATGCATCTGTTTCCTCTTATTTTGAATGAAGAGAGTCATAGTATGTACCTCATAGAATTGTCATGAGGATTAATGGGATCTGACATGCAAAACTCTTAGCCAGTACTTAGCATATGGCAAGTGCTCATTAAATGTTAATGAATATTACTATTAATATGTAAATTTCAGTATTTGATAAAACTTTCAAGCTAAGTAAAGATATTGGTATCACTGTTGATCCACACGCTTGTTTTAAATAGCCTTTTATTTAGTTATTGAGGGATTAATCTGTGCCTTCATAGGCAATTTCCCTAAGAATAGCTCACAGCTATTCAAAAGGATAGGGAGGGTGGAGACACAAACTACAACATCCTAATTTAAGTAGTATGGATATTATGTTATAATATATAGAGATGATCAGAAGAAGATGCAATTAACCATGTCTTGAGGACAAGACATTACCAACTTTATCACAGAGGGTAAAGTTACATATGAGGAACTAAATAAAGTATAAAAAATTGAACACAGCTGTGAACAATTACAATGACTGGCAGTCTTCATTATTAATGTCCTTATTTATATATCCACTGAGTTGTAGGATCAAATTTTCACAATTAGCTAAGACCAACAGTAATTTTGACATCGCTGTCCAATATGTTTACCAATTTCGTGGGCTGGAGGAAATGAGAGATATACATGTGTTTTGCAATCATTCAGACATCATTGATTTTTTTTTTCTTTAAAAGACATATTGGCTATGCCTGGGGAATATAAGCAAAAAAACCCAGTAAATATGTATGCACTTCACATATATTTCTATCATCTGCTATCACAGTACCAAAACTGGATTTGAACTTCTGGTCTAAGGAGATTTCTTTATAATGTTTTCTGTTATAAGAATGCTAATTCCAAAATGAAACCCTGCCATACCTTACTTTTAATTTGGAATGTATGCTTCTTCCACCAGAGTTCCTCTTTATCCCGAGACACATTTGTTATTTTTAGGGACTTACTTTATTTTAAATCCTCAGGGATTTAAAATGTAAGTAGCCTTGAAACATCTTTTGGGGAAGAAATTCTTGAGTTATTTTGAAGAAATATGCCATTATGAAGAAAATTGATTTAACAGATGAAATTAGAAATAAAAAATTCTAGTTGTACATAAATATTTTGGAGTTTACACAATAGCTCCATAAATAAACAACCGATACATATGAACTTAACGACTACACAGACAATGGATTAATTGAATGTGGCTAAATAGTAAAAAATCAGAAAAGGTTAAGTAGAGAGCTAAGGCTATCAACTGTGCATTTACATTTCAGAAAAAAAATTAAAATTATAATTTGTCATGGTGTATCAATCATGTGTAGGTGGTTCCACAAGAGCACCAAATCTAACAAGGAAAATAAAGATAATTATGGCATTCTGCTGGTGTTGTGCTTAGCAGAGCAAAGCAAAAAGCTAAAAGGCTTGTCAAAGATAATTTTTTTTCCTATTAATGCAGTTTTAGCTATGTAGACAAGGTAAGATGTTAAGATTCTTTATACCCTGGAAAAGTTACTCCTTTGGATCTTACTTTTTTTTTTTTTCTTATCAGTTTAGCAGAGATTAATGCAAGATGAATTAAATGCAGAGAATAATTTATCCTCATATAAATGTGACTAAAGAATTCATATCATACTATATTGATAATTACAGCACCAATTTTTACATTTACAGCTAATTCAAAATATATTCAGAAATTGTTTTTATTTTCTCAAAGACAGCTTTGGATTCATTACTCTGTGGGTAATAGGATCTTAAGGTGTAGATACCATTCTATATTTATTGAGGGGTGCTTCTGTTTTCAAATTGTTTTATAAGCTTAATGATTTTTACTTCTTGGAGGTTCAATATAATGAGAATAAAAAATGCTTAACTTGTGGTAAATAGAAACCAGTTTAGAACATTTTCTGTGATTATTAGTTTAGCAAAGAAAGTCAGGAAGATATTTTAACCTACAAGATAGCCTGGTTTCAGCCATCCTTTATGATTTGAAGGACTCTTTTAGAAACATTCCAATGTATCGGTATATCTTAAAATAGGACACCTTCACCTCTTCACAGCAATCTAAATGTGATCTGATCAATGGTGCATATAGTGAGATCGTTAAGTTACATTTAGACTGTTTCATATTGCTGACCCTTAGACCTTTCTCACTCAAAACACCCATATTTTATAGTTGGTATTTTAGGAAGTGGGCATAAAACTTTACAATCATCCCTATTAAATATCAACCACATCTACTAAGATTTTTTTGATAACTGCTTTCCACATATCAGCAATCCTCCTTATTTGCAGCCTTCAGGGTATTTGCTTCTTTTGCATCTCTCCAAGCTCCTCATAAAAAGGTATTCCCCAGGTCAAATCATCAAAGATTTCAAGTGGCTCTTGTTCAGTTATTAATCAGCATTAGTTTTATGCATTTTAATGAACAATTATTTGTCTAACAGCATTGGCACCTGGACGTCCATCTAGGTCCTAAATATCAGGAAAGGTTCTAATTATCTTTGAGATCAAATATCAGTTTATGTATATATTACTAATTTTCAGAGAATTTCAGCATAATTAAGTAAAAATAATATCAAACTCCTCTCAGATCGTTATTCTTTCTCATTCAAGATGTATTTCAGGAGTTAAGTGCACCCAGCCACCTGAATATGCATCAGTTATCATTATACAGCACAAAAATATGATTGAGATTTTTAAAAATTTCTAATTAGATTCTAGATTAATAGGATATTAGTGTTTCTTGTCTGTTTACTAATTGGAAATTAATGTTATAATTCAACATTAAAATTGTTATGTAAGTTTTTAAAATATAGTTTATGTATTTAACCTATATTATGTATTAATAATTAATTTTAAAACTATATTACCTAACCTATATATTATGTTCGTAGTTAAATCTTATTTTTTTTAAAAAAAGGAAAATGTGATTCATTAAACTGTACTATCAATGAATTAATAAAATTAGTTTATAAAAATATAATTATATATTAAAATACATGTTAACTTCACAAATACTGTAACATTCCCATGCAAAAAAAAAAATGTATGTTAACTCATAATCAAAAATTCACCATGAATTGCATCTCAAGTTGAAGGCATAAATTTTGTTGATTCTTTTCTAAGGAGAATTAAGCCACTGTAGACATTCATTTTAATTCAGGCAAATCTCTTTCTCTGAATTTCTTCAATTTTTTACGTGATAAAAATACCTTTTTAAATATATGTAATATAGAGCACATCTAAAGATCTGAACATATAATAACTAAATCAATTTTAGAAGTTCTAAGAAAGCAAGAATTAAAAAACTACTTTGAGTTTCATGTATGAAACATTTGCAAATCACAATTATCTTCAAATCATAATTATCTTCAAACTAAATGTGCAGAGTCTTTGGTTCTATAGGATGTATTGGCTTAACCTTTGGTATCTGGAAGCAAGTTAGGAATTCCAGAGTAATCAAGTACTTGCCAATCCCTCAGTAACAATATAGACTTCTAATTAATATAAAATGTATGTGCAATGGACACACTTTTCAGGTTCTAAGAATCCTTTATGAAGTTATTCATACCAAATGAAGCTCACGTATTATTTTTTTAAAAGTAGAAAATTTTTTACGTATGTCATACTTAATCAGTGAGTCTGTTTTTCAGATGAATTCATAATATACTTTTGAACTTTGCCTCCACTTACTTGAGATCAAGCAGGTCTATCTCCAACCCCATTGGAAATTCTGTCATTGGAACACTAAAATGACTTGCTTATAAGGAAATCCCTTGATATAGTGATGCTATAAGGTGACAATGTATTCATAGTATTTATGAGCACTGAGGGCTATAAAGACTTTAATAATTTGCCAAATGTGACTGTCTCTGATAATGGTATTGATGGATTCAGCACAGTTTAACATGTATGGGATGTACATTACTGCACATATTTTGGTTTTTCTTCTAGGTAAGGGAGCGACTGAGGGTTTCTTTAGAAAGAGTCTCTGCACTGGAAGAAGAACTAGCTGCTGCTAATCAGGAGGTAACATACCAAACTTTCTCCTCTTTTGAGGTGCAATATCACTAACATTATAGCCCTTGTGTTTCACGTCACTTTTATTAAAACTGTCACAAAAAATAAATTACATTCTGTATATGCCACTGAACAAGGTCTGTTGAAACTAGTTGCCAGAGTCATGTTTTCTGATTTCTGGTGATTCAGATCTGCCACTAAGAGATGAAAAGAAAATTACCAAGAACTAGCGACAAAGGGGCTTAGAAAGACTGCAGTCAGAATACCAGTCCTTTCAAAAAGTAAAACACAGCTCCAAAATTGGAAAACATGTCAAATATCTGTTAAACTTAGAAAATGTCACAAATGAAGTTAACTCCTTGGAGATATAAATATACTTCCCTTAAGGTTCTTATTGTTCTTATCTTCTAAGAGCATCATGCCCATGTTTAGTGGCATCATTGAATCCACTTTTCTTGCTCTCATTCATGACTAAAGTATTATAACCATCTCTGACATTTAAACAGTTGTTTTTTTCTTTAGAAAAATTTGCTAACTTTGGTTATTAGTACACAAATGAACTTGGATCATTAGACTAGATAGATAGATAGATAGATAGATAGATAAAAAGTACATTAAAATATATAAAATATATGAAAAATAACCTGTGTAGGCCACCAAAATAGCCCCATCTCATTTTCTCTCTCTAACATTTACTTATAAGGCTATGTTTTTCTCCAGAAATTTATTCCAGTGATGTAAATATTGGTATTGCTAGTAGTAGACACACTAAAATAATCCTACAAAATCTTCTTAGGTTTAAATAGTTAAAGATGTGGGAGGCTAATGTCCTTAATTATAAATATTATCAAGCCATTCTTCTTAAAATAATATTTGCATTTACATTGCACACACAAATACACATTTTTAAAGCATGATAAAAAATCTCGACTAGTATAAATTACCTTGCTCTCTAAAATAAGCTAGATCGGGGTGCCTGGGTGGCTCAGTTGGTTAAGCAACTGCCTTCGGCTCAGGTCATGATCCCAGGGTCCTGGGATCGAGTCCCGCATCGGGCTCCCTGCTCAGCAGGGAGTCTGCTTCTCCCTCTGACCCTCCCCCCTTTCATGCTCTCTCTCTCTCAGTCTCTCTCTCTCAAATAAATAAATAAAATCTTTAAAAAAATAAAATAAAATAAAATAAAATAAGCTAGATCAATTAAACAAGTTTAAAGTTTACCTTTGTTCTAGGTTAACAATTTAAATGGTAGAAAAAAATGGACTTCTAAATGCAGGGAGAATGAGTTCGTGTGAACTAAGTACCTAGCAGTGTCAAAAACATAAACGGTGGCACAACAGTTTAAATATATAGAGACAAAGCTTTTTGGTGAGCAGATCAGCTTAGCAAACTGGATGGCTTTAAATAAATAAATAAATAAATAAGTAAGTAAAGTAAAGGGAACAAAGGGAAATAAGAGGTTGGTACATCTTAGTCATCATAGAAGAAAAGAACCTCTGAAATAATAGATAACGACAAGAAGAACTCTGTCTTTTTATGAAAAAGAATAGCTTTTACCAATGAAGTAAGTATATGCATTCCTGGAATGTCCGGAAAGAAGATATTAAATGTTTATTTATTTTGTGTTTTACCATTGTTAATTTTGATTTTCATGTATGTTTAAAAGTACATTTATTGGGCGCCTGGGTGGCTCAGTTGGTTAAGCAACTGCCTTCGGCTCAGGTCATGATCCTGGAGTCCCTGGATTGAGTCCCACATCGGGCTCCCTGCTCAGTGGGGGGTCTGCTTCTCCCTCTCCCGCTCCCCCCTCTTGTGCTCTCTCTCTCTCTCAAATAAATAAATAAAATCTTAAAAAAAAATTTTTTTAAATAAAAAATAAAAAAATAAAAGTACATTTATTTTGGGTACATCCCTCAAAATATTTTATTGATAGGAGTAAAAAAAACAAAAGCTTTGGCAACTACGACTGGAAAAGCCTTGCTTACCGTGTGGTGATAAAGCTTCTGTTTGTCAGAGACAAAGGGGTGGTGAGACCTCTTGGCAAAGTTATATACCCTGAAGTAAAAATATTCCTCAAGTTCAAGTAAGGCTCTCTAAATTTGCTCCAGACATGGCAACGGAATAGCTCAATTAGATATAAAATGGAAGAACGATCCTTGAGAGAAGCAAAGTGGAGGAGAGACCTTTGACAGTTATTTAAATATTTTAGCCTCAAATTTTATTGTAGGCAGCATGGTCCATTTGATTGCTTGTGTATATTTTAAATCATTAACATTATTCTACAATTACTGCAGCCCTTCTGAATGCTTTTTGTTTTGTTTTACATCATTTGCATAAGAGGAAAGTAATTGTGTGCTCATTATTAACTCCAATATGGTTTTTTTTCCCTTGATTTTTATTAACTTCCAGGTGGCTTCACCAGAATCCCTATTTAGGAAGTCACATATCCAAGGATCGGGATATGTGTTTTCTAACAATAAATTGTTTATAAACAATTAATGATTTTAAGAGAGAGTGCATGGGGAAAAGCCAACTTTTACTTCATAATGAAACTTGTATTTCATTATGAAAATTTAAAAAAAGAGAGAGACAGAGAAATCAGAAGACACCTGCAGTTTGACTTCTTAGAATAACAGTTGGTACAAGAAACCTCTATAAACCAGGCATCATGTATTGATGATAAGATACATTTAGAAATCTGACCAAAAAAGTTTAGAAAAATTTACACTATTATCAGCTTCAGAAAGGGGAACTAGATAACATTTGATTATTAGAGGAAGTAATTGAAGAAAGTATTTTAGAAAATAAAGGGCAATTTTTTTAAGATTTTATTTATTTGACAGTGAGAGATACAGCGAGAGAGGGAACACAAGCAGGGGGAGTGGGAGAGGAAGAAGCAGGCCTCCCAAGGAGCAGGGAGCCCAATGTGGGGCTCGATCCCAGGACCCCGGGATCATGACCTGAGCTGAAGGCAGATGCTTAACGACTGAGCCACCCAGGCGAAGGGCAATTTTTTAATAGAAAAAAACTATTCAAGAACACAGTCTTAAGAACCAAACAAAAATATGCAATATAGACAAAAACAGTCAGGTACTAGAACAAAATTCTGCAGATGGCTAAATGAGGAAGGGTTTGGGGAAAATTTCATTTGATGCTTCAGATTTTAAGTTAAAATTAAAATGTGCTTACAAGTGTCCCTTACAATTCAAATCTGTGCATTTCCTGAGTTCGTATAGCAAGTTTGACAAGTGAGGATACCGTAGTATCCGAATCTGTTTGATTCGCAAGTTTCTGGTCGTGGTAATAACTGTTCGGATAGCAAGGCATTTATCCAAATATATTCCTGAATTATTTCAGTTCCAAAATTCAGAAAGGAGAAATCAGAGAGCAGGGGTTTAGACTGCAAGTGATACATTGATATATTCATACATATATATGCATATGTAGAGTCTTAGAAGATGATAAAATAGAGTTTATTCTATCATCATTATATTATTTTAATAGAGTTTATTCTGTCATCTATATGTCATTATTCTCTTTCTGTGTCTATGTATCTGTCCCTATCTCTGTCTCTCTCTGTCTCTCTCATCTTGTCCCATTCTCATACATGTTTTGGAATTAACACCCTTTAATGCCTTTCCTTTATAGAAACTCTCCCATGGAGGCCTCATCTATTTCTCTTACATCTAAGGCTACAACCATGGCTTCTGTGAGGGGAAAAAAGACAAAATCTGTAGCTCAAAGTTCATGCTTTTTTCTGAGCCTCCCAAAAGGTTTTAAACATTGGTTTTGGCATTTCCACACAGCTTCGCTAATGGTTGTAGAGACTGTTCTCTGCCACAGGTATCCAGCAGGGGGCAAAGTAGAGAGATTGAACTTCCTCAGGGTTTGCAAATTAAGATATGCACCTGTATGTCTGTCATCACCTACAGGGAGCAAATTTTCTAATTTACACAAAGGCACCATATGTGCTGGTGGGCCTGGAACTCCACCTAGTTTTTCCAAGTGTCCCCTTAGATTCCCTATGGCCCATTAATGCAGTGAAATAAGTAGCCTTATTCAAAAGAATATGAGGTGACTATATGTTCTAATTTGGAAAGAGCTCCAAAACATTATTTTACAAAAAGAAAGAAGTTGCATAGAATGATCCCGATGTTGTACAAATACAAGTAATACTAATACATTATTGTAGGACTAGAAAAAATTTTGAGTATAAATACCAAACTGTCATTATTAGTTGTCTCTGCTGCTTGTAAGTATATGTACTATGTATTTCTGTCATATTTGTGTTTTTAATAACTCTTCATTATATCATAAACAAAATGATAAAGATCTTTTAGATAACATTTTCCATGACTAGATGATTCTATTGATCACTTATAAATAACAATAAGTAATATTTACTGAGTGCTTTAAATTCTGAGGCACTGTGCTAAATACGTATGTATCAGCAGAATAATCCTGGAAGATTGGTACTACTATTATTTTATAGATGAGCCCAGAGAGGTCATTTCTCCTAAGGTGCCATTCTCTCCAACTACAAAATGTTCTTATCTCTGAGTTTGTCTTAACTCTCTGTACTCAGGCAGTTCCAGTCTCTACATTTAAATGTATCTGTAACCATTCCCCATCCATTTACTCTCTTCTCTTTGCATATACATTAAAACCACTGTAGTTTAGGTGTTCATTAATTCTCACTTGGAATATTACAATAGGTTTTCATTTATTCTTGTTTCCTATCCCTTTCTGCTATGTAATTCTCCAAGGTTAAACCTGCTAAGTAAAGTTCTAATCATAGTGATCATTCCTCATAACATATTCCAATATGTAATATACACTTATATGCAATAAATACCATATTAGTATATTAATAACATAATGCTATAATGTACTGTATTAACACATGTTAATAATATAATCATATATCAAGAACCTCTTCAGTGGTCCTAACCTACAAATCTAGCTCTTAACTCCTACTACCCCTACTGCCCTGAGTCATTCTAAGGTCTTGT